AAATATGGTTCCATAGGTATAAAAGAGTCCTGATGGGATGAGTACCAAGATTGGAATACACTGGTTGAAGGACACGATTTGTTCAAAGGAACAGAAGTAAGAGGAAGGAGGAGTTAAAACTATCCACTCCTGCTCAGAAATTTAAAAAGAACTTGAAACTATAGAGAACATCTGGATTAAATAATTGGAAGAAGAAATGTAATATTATTGTAAATGCCTACTGTCACCTGCCTGACCAAGGATAAGACATGGAAGATGCTTTTCAAACACAGATTTTTTTTAAAAAAAATGAAATTGTTTGGGAGACTAAGCACAGTTGCACCAATTCTAATGAGGAAAAAATGGAGGATGTCAGACGAATCCAATGTGGCTGCACGAAAGCATGGCAAAGATCTGAAGACTGCAAAAGGACCTATCAAGAACATGGAAAGAGGAAAACTATGAAGAGAGAGCTAAAATTGCAGAGACAGAATTACAAAGATTATATGGAGCTCTGGTTGATGAAGGACGTTAAGAACAATAAAATTAGCTGCTTCAGTTATGCTCAAATTAAGAAGAAAAGGCACTCCTTATTTGGCTCAGGCTTCCCATGTATGAGAGTTCTTGTTCCACTAGGCAATTGTGAAGAGCTGGGTAGAGGAGTAGAACAAGATTGATAGAATCCTGGTCAGGGAATATTTATTTACTTTGAATGAGTTTAAATCTCCAGGGCCAAATGAATTGCAACCTAAAGTCCTGAAGGAACTTGCTGATGGGCTGGCCATCCCTCTGTGCATTATCATTGAGAAACTGGAGAATGGGTGAAGTGCCAGCTGATAGGAGAAGAGGAAATATTTTCCTTTTCTGTCTTCAAAAGGGGAAAAAGCATCCAGTGATCTACAGGCTGCTTTGCCTGAAATCAGTATCTGGGAAGATAAAGTGATTGCTTGGTAAGCATTTTGGAAACAATGCAACAGAAGCCAGCATAGATTTGGCAAGAACAAATCTTGCCAGATTCACCATATCTCATTCTTTGATTGGTTAACTTCCTTAATTGTGGGAATGCTGTAGACATTTGGCATGACAATTAACTGGATACATAGCTGGCTTGGAAATTATACTTGAAGACTGCTTATCAATGCTTCCACATCAAACTAGAGTGCTATATCAAGTGAGAGGACACAAGGTTCATCGTTGGGCCTATATTTGTTTTTATTAATGACTCGGATAAAGAGGCGGAAGGAAAGCTAATCAGATCTGGGGATGATACCAAATTGGATGGATGACTAATGCTTCTGAAATAAAAATAATGAGCTGAGTTAGAAAAATGTGATGAAAATAAGAAAATGAAATTTAAGAAATGCATTCACAAAGGCTTCTCCACATGGCTGCTTTGCTGTGCTTTCCTCCTGTTCCATGTAGGTGTAAATTGCACTGCACTCACAGTATGCCGTTCGTTGGCATCTGGGACAGGGCTATGCTGTGCTGCTTCTGTAGAGTTTGTATGTAAGATGTTGTAAGAGCAGCGATTCATTGTTTTCTCTGATTGAAATTCTAAAATCACCAACATTGGGAAAACCCACCACCAGTTGCCATTCAGAATGTGGGCCAGAGTGTTGTAGTAAGGTCTGAGCACTCTATCCAATCAAGTTGTTCTTCTGTTTTTTCCAAAGGACTAATGTTCCATCCACCTAACAACCATCCTCTTAATTGCAATGTAATAGTTGCTTGGATTTGTGCAGCCCAGAGGCTGCCACCGCATATGGGTTTTGGAAGTCAGAGTTCAAGAAAGAATTCTGATATATGTAAGAGATGTTCAGTTCTTTGGGTATATCCACACAGTTTCTCCAAAACGGATTGTTAACCTGCCAGCTAGTTGATCTACTGATTGCTAGGTGGTAGCAAAGAATTTTTGTCTCACTTTGCTGGCATCTAGTGATTGTCCAAATTTTTGCATCTGAAACTCAGCGGCCGGACAAGTACTATTGAAGAGCCAGATATCAAATTACAGCAGATATAGAACTGATCATCCAAAAGAATGGGAGAGGAAAAAAATATGGCTGTATGTTGAGGCTATCTCCATATCAGATTACATTCTATAGGGATGAACCTTTTAAAAGACCATTCTGAGAGGAGAGGAGTTAAGGAACATGGCTTTCCTGAGAGCAGCAACCATTGTTTTACAGGTTCCAGATTGTTTCACAGCCAAAATATCACTGATGGAACAGATACCAAGTCCAGGGACTAGACAGAATTACCTGCTGGGGTAATTGTAGCTGACAGATAATCATATCTGATGATGTCACCTCAGATCTCCTCTGTGTACCATGCATTGCCTGGATGGTAGGTCATTTTTCCAGATAAAATACTACTTTCATATCAGAACATCTTGGATGGGCTTCAGACTGCCTCAGTAGTGGGCTGAGATGGAGGATCTGTTGTAAAGACATCTCCTTTGCTGTGAAGACATATCCATGGCATGAAGATGGGACATCTACCTAGTCTGGCAATAGAACTTGTGAAAAAGTTCAAGTAGAATATGTGACATGGCAAAAAAGACAAGTATAGTTTAAAGCTGCATTGACAGAATTATAGTGTTTACATTGCAGAAAGTAATCATTTCACTTTATGCTGCATTGGTCAAACCTCACCTCAAGCATTTTGTCCAGCTCTGAATAACGTTTAACATTTAAAGGACTCAGACAGACTGAAACAGGCTCTGAGGAGGGTGGTGATCCAGTGAAGAAGGATTGAAGGATCTGGATTGAATGCATAGCTTTGAGAAGACTGAGGGGGAAATACTGTAGCAGTCTTATTTATTTTACTTTATTTATTCAAGTCAATTTTGAGTCTCAATGATTCTGGGCAATTAAAAGAAAACAACGTATGTCAAAAAAAGAATGCAGCCGACTGGAAGACCAACTCCATAATGGATTTAAGTCACAGGAAGGCACGTTCTAATGGAAGGTTAATAGTAAGAATAATTTGACAGTTGAAGCTGTTACCCAGAGAAGTGGTAGACTCCCCTTCCTTGGATGAGAGGCTGGAGAGCCCGCAGTCATGGATACTTGAATTTCAATTCCTGTTCAGAGCTGGGAGTTGGATTCAGTGGCTAAATGGCTTCTTCTGACTTTCACAGGAGTGATATTAATGTGCTGTGAGAAACACATTCCTAGCACACGGGGAATACTGCTTGAGCTACAGCATCCAGCATGGCCTTGCAGAAGCTAAATTGGGAACGTTAAATTGCTTCCACTTTTATTTCTGACATAGGAAGTAAGAGCTGTAACTGGCTGGCGGGCCACGGCCTGCTGCTGGAAGAGGTAAATGAACTCACGGTGGGCATTTTAAGGTCCCTTTGCCCTGCCTGCCTGACTTCCTGACAAGCTTTTTTGTGGAAATGATTATTTTGAAAACAGGGCTGTGACTTCCAGTGTGATAAAAGCAGCAGGGGCATTGAAGCACTTAGGCACCCTGCTTCCATGGCACTATCCTTGGTAATAAAGAATGACAAGAGAGAAACGGAGAAATTCAAGCAGACTTGTTGCCAGAAATAAGCTTTGCTCATAAAAACTAGGTGGAGGAAGAGAAGAACACAATATATTTGGGCGTATGAGCTAAATCCTTCAGCTATGATGAAAATTATAATTTCTGTCAGTTTAATTCACCACAGATGTGTGCTTTTCCCCCCTGTTTTAAAAATATATGCTGGCCAAGAAAAAACAGTTTTAAATATTTACAAGCAGCAGTGTAAAGCTGATGAAAAGAGAAATGTTTATAAAGAGCTCATTTCGTTGCAGCCTTAGGGAATCAAGACATTGTTTTATGGATTTCCTTTTTTGTTGATGGTGTGTTTTTTTACTTGTAATATTGTTGGTGTGTGTGTGTGTTACTTGATTTACACGGCCCAGAGTTGCAATTACGTGAGTTGGGCAGCCATATAATTCTAATAAACACAACATGCTTAATAGAATTTTAAAAAGGAGTTTACCTTATGCAGATGGAGAATCCAGCAGTTTAGTGCTGATTTAAATGTAATTCTAAACCACGGATATGAGCCTTGTTTAAGGTGTTGCAGAACTACAACTCCCAGCATGGTTCAACATAGGTTGTGCTGGCTGGGACTGCTGGGTGTTGTAGTTCCCTACTCCGGCTCCAAAGCATGGCATGATCAAGTAAATTGAAACCAAACCTGAAACTAATTGAAACCAAACACTGCATACAGTTCTTGAGATAGATCGCTCACTTCTGATGTAAAAAAGTCTAGGACATCTCAGCAAGTGCCTCCTCTTGTATGTTTTAAGATATCTTTTTTTTTAGCTCCTACATTTCTGGAAAACCTGATTAGCTTCACAAGAAACAAGCTTTTTAGAACATCTGCTTCCAAGTGATTCATATATCTCCTTATCTTAGTCTGCAAGAGAACATGCCATAAATAAATGAAAATAGTTATGTTTTATTGTGCCTTTAGGATTTTTTTTACGGTTTCTATTTTTAATGTTTTTAATTATTAAATTTTATTCAGTTGGTACATCACCTTAAGTGTATTCTATTGCCTGCAAAGTAGTATAGACATCTCACAAGTAATATGCGTATTACCTAATATTCTAACTTTTAATAGAGGTGCTTTTTAAAAAAAAAAATACTGAAGACAAAGTAACTCCAATTTATCATTAGAAGCAAAGTCTATGCTGAATTTTCTTTTTTCATTTTAATTCCTTAATAGCATAGCATAAGATAACCAAGAGAGTCTTAGAGGGCAATACCATATTTTCTTTGACATAAGTGTTATTGGGATCAATTGGGTTTACTCCTTGCTGCATTAAAAATTCAACAAACATGTTTTGAATTGGCAGCCAGCTGATGAACATTGGTCCCTATAAACAAGTTAACAGATTAAATGTCTGAAGGAAGCCCTGTTAATGAGCCTCGGTGTTAACAGCAATGATGAGTGAATATGTACTTTGAGAATAGAGAATTGAAAAATACACCTTGCCTTTTGTGTGTTCCTTTTTTTCTAGTCCTGTGCAAGTAAGTTTGATAGGAGCAGTGCTCTTCACGATGCAGTGCACCTTTTACCTTCCAATAACAAAGCACAATCTCATGTTACTTTATACCATCTTCTTGGTGGCCACAAAGGTAAGTTCATGGGGTTGATGGTTTCTATGAATGTGTGCAACTGTCTGCTCAACATATTTTTATCATGTTACACTAATTGCATCTATTAGGCACATTCAAATAGCAGATATGATAGTTTGAACATTTAATAATAATAAATAATAGTAATAATAATAATACAATCCTTTCCAGCTTTGATTATATATGTTAGCCTTTCTCAATCTGGTACCCTCCAGATGTGTTGAACTACAGCTATCAAAGTTCTGGTTCATATATATTTTCCACATCTGTCTTCTATTAGGACCTAAAGAATAAAAGGGAAACCATTCAGGAACGTGTGAGAAAGTCATCGCTTCCATAAATTTAATTTGAAGCAATTTGGCATTCTAAGGAGTGGTTCACATGTTTATTGTATGATTATTGCATGGTATTTCTGTTCACTGCCAGACTGATTATATTTTCTCCTGACTAATGACAATTCACATTGTTGCTCATATCTTGGCTTAGTATTTATCAGCACAACTGGGATCCCGATGACAAGGTCTGCTAAGGATTTGGCTAGCTTCTCAGTATTTATGAACAGTGCCTGTCTGTAGATGTACTCTACTTTTATATTGGAAAATGGCCAGGAGCAAACCGTACTATAATGATTGGCCACTTGACCGCAAGCCAAAGTTGGCCAGAACCCATTTAACCCATATTTCCTTCTGCCAGAATCAGTCCCCCCCCCCCCAGTTATTTATCTTCTTTTCCTTGGGAAGGCAGGACTAATAGGCAAATGTTTTAAATTCTTTCCTGGGAAGAGGAACCTTCAGTCACAGAATGTATCACTAGGAGGTTTGTCTCTTCATTCATTCCAGCTCAACAGAATGTTGGAAAGAAATTATGTCAAGGGATTCAGGACACTGCCTGTCAGCAGGATAAGTCTTTGAAAACTAAACAGAACGGGGCCTGATTTGGTATGGTGGAAGAAACTGGCAAAAGAAAGATTACATTTCAAAGTGTCCTGAATCTGGCTTGGGACCTCAGAGAAGAATATTCCAGAATTAATTTCCTTGCGGGAGAGGCATTTGGGCAGTGGCTCAGGATGTTGCTGACTGCTTCAGTCTAAACCTTTCCCTCATCTCTTTATTGATCATGTGACCCAGAGTGGAATGTATTCAATGTGTCTTGTGCTTTCCAGTGTGTACATACACACAGAAGGGGGGAGCAAAAACACACAAACACAACACATTACTTTGTTACACAGAAGAAAATATAGTCTCCTCTTGTGGCTCCTGCTGCTAAAAGGGCTGGAAAGAATTCCAGAACCATGCTCTGCATGCTTTCCCTACCTTGTTTATTAAAAGCAAACTGTACTGGATGTCAAGGAAAAGTGGGATAAAAGTATTATTGTAAATAATAATTTCAGGTCACTTTAATTGGCCCAAAGCTTTGCATTGAATCTGTTTTGTCAGAAAGGTATTATTTAGGCTGAGTTTGTCCAGTTTTAGTTGCAGAGTTGATATGCTTGCTGTATGTTTCTTGCAGGTAAAGATGATGGTGACAGGATGCACTACTTCTCCGTTTGCTTCCCTGGAGGAAACCCTGGGCTGCCTCTTCTTTGGCCAGAAGCCAACTGGTTCACAGACAAAGGATGAGGCCAACGGGCCCTCAAACGGCATCTCCTCAGCCTGTGAATGTTTTCTTGATGGAGAGAAGAGTGAGGCAGTCCAAAGGAAACATGCAAAGAAAACTGAATGAAAACCTCAAAAGTGCTAAGGATGGCCCAAGATGGCTTGTTTGTGTGTGCCCATAAATATGTAGTGTTTCTCTTTCCCAATAATGTGAAATGACAATTGTGCATGAAGAAATTCCTGTGACAAGAGGGTGGCTGCACTGGTCCTTCAGAGAAGATTTCTGGGCAAACAGCAATTCAGTGGAGCTCTTATATTGTCCATGAACTGCTTCTGTTGTTTACTGCAGCAGTTCCCATCCTGCTGTCATTTGGACATTTTGGGATGACAGCTTCCACATTTCCTAGCCTCCACAGCCCTAAAGGTACCAGATTAGGGGAGGCTGGACTACTACTCCTGCCCTAGGGCTCTGTATAGCTTCTGAAGCTGGCTATTTTTTTTGTAAACTAAAATTCATAGTTGAATAAGATGCATCATGTCAGTTTTTTCCTAATTGAATTTATTTATTTATTCAGTTTAGATGGCCGCCCATCTCACTATAGTGACTCTGGGCGGCTAACAACATTTAAAATCAAAATACAGACAACACAAAGCATAGAACATCAAACAACGATAAAGAGATTATACCGTGATTTAATTTGATGAGCATTTTTACTGTGTTTTTCTATTTAAGAAAACAAAGCCTAACTTTTAAAAAGCTTGTCAAAATATTTTCTGGTATTTTCTGATAGTAGCAATACATAAGAACCAGATTTTAGAGTATGGTTCATCCAGAGTTGGGCACTTCTAAATATCAATGGGAGAGACTTCAGCATATGTATGTTTGATGATTTCTTATTGCTTCCTTATGACTGAATTGTATCCTGATATTTTGTTCTTTGACAAAAAAGATGCTCTTTCAGTCTTTCAGTCTACAAATATTTTGATATAGGATTTGAGGGATGCTCACTTTTTTCTGATATTGGCAGAAAATCTTAAATGTTAGATACCCTACTAATGAGCTGATTTGAAAGCACAATTTTTTAAGTGTTTACACTTGGCTTGAATCACAAGCTAATTTGTATATGTTTTCCACAGATCTTTCATACTAGATTTTCAAATTTTGGATATTAAATGATTTGTAGATATCCCCACTTTGCTGGATTTTTTTGCAGGGGAATGAAACTTTTTGAGACAGAATTTATATGGAATGTACCTTTCAGTCACTCTTAGATAATTTTGAAAACAAGACAGTATTATTTGGAACCTTGACTGAGGCTGAAAAAGACAAGACAGGGATTACATCTCACCTGGCAGGAAGGTAGGTGGGAATTGCAGGGAAATCTCCTTTTCCCTAGTCACCAAACAGCCTATAATGCATGGCCAGCAGTCTGCACTTGGCTCAACCAAGCTGTCTCCATTTCTTTTAGTATATGGTTGATTGTTTTCATGAGCATTCTGAGACTAACATTTGTAATCTGTCTTTTATAAGCAACTAAAATCTTTTATCCAGGTCAAAAATGAAGCAGAAAACAGGGATTTTTTTTTTTTAAAGAATGACATTTGTCATATCATTTGAGGCACTTTTCATTCTATGTCTTCTCTTCCGGAAGATTGGAACAAGAGTGTCCAGAAAGTGTGTTAAAATATCCATGTAGTGTTATTTTGAACTTGGTTTGTACATACCTGAAAAATACAAGTTGGACACCAGCAGCCAATGTGCTTCAGACATTTATGAAGTTTTTTTTTTAATGCATGCTGGTAAAATCACTGATGTCTTTTATATGACTGGGCTGAACAAGTGTCTTGATGCTTTTTAGTCCTAGAATTTTTTTTGAAATGCCTTTGGTACTGTTGTCAACAGTCTCACAGTAATTACAGTGTAGACTTTATAGCACACATTAATGTGAAAATGTATTTAAAATTACTGTTAAAATACTTAGTTAGAAGATGGTATGCCTTGCCTTTGAATTCAGTGTGCATTTTAAAAACCTGCTATTAAACAATGGAAACAGTTTGCCTCTCAGTGGTGCTAATCATATGATCAGCAAATACACGGACATGAAGAGTTTAGTGGCTAACACATTCTGCTGCTTCACCCAGAAAAGCTTATATTCTTTCCCTACAGGAATTGAAGCACATTCATCCCATTTAAAATACTTGCATTTGCCAATTTTTAATTGCAGATGGCAGTTAAACCTTGAAAAAGCTAAGCAAGGTTAGATCTGTTTAATACATGGATGGGAGACTACCAGCAGACCCCAGGACCTGCAATGGGCAGTGAGAATAATCTTGAGAGACAGAAGAAAGAGCCACAGCCTAGACAACGGTACCTTGGTATTCTTCGTTTTGGTTTCCTGGCCTGGCCTACAGTACTTTGAAGGGCTCACAGGGCCATAGACTAGGGTAGGCTTTGGTAACCCATTCTGTCTTGTTGCCAGGAAAAAAAAAACCCTATATGAATATGTCCCTGTAGTCACCAGGAGCTGAAGGAGACTTTAGCTATCATTTTTGCTGTGTAAATTGCACAGCAGTACAGTTCAGCTAGTCTAGACTATGATAGGTGTGGATTCAAATTCTCTTTGAATCTGGCCACAGTTTGATTGCTCTGAATATTTATTCAGCACCCAGTGCTCCATTAGTGAAACCAGAGCAGCTGCCATCTAATGACAAGGCATCCATCTTTAGTCATGGAATAAGAATGGTGGCAGGGAGAGATGCTTCAGCCATGGCTGCTCCAATCCTGGCCTCTCTACATTGATAGGGTAGGTCTGCATTGAGATCCATAACTCTACATTTGGCTAATCTCTGGAATCCGAAGAGGGCAAAAGATCTATGTGCTGCCCCATATTTTTATGTTTTTGACATGCATCCTTGCCCTAAGTAATCTTTTTCATACTTTCATACAGAGTGAAGCTCATCTTAATGGATATTAAGGTCAAGCTAAGTAAGATTAGTTAAGTTGTTCCTTGCTAGTTTCTACACGACAGATGCTGGATTAAGAATTCTGGATTTATAGTAAGCAGGGAAGAAATATATTGGTACATAATTTGGGGTCTTTGGAAATTTCATACTGGGATCACCAATTATTCAATTCAAAACCCCCTCATGTATAAATGAATTAGTACTTAATATTTAGCACTCTTTGCATCAGCATTTGAGATGCCGTATTTTATTTTGCCCATCTTAATTGGTGTCATTTTTGCTAAACAATTGGGTGGGAGCTTATTACACACAGAGCAGAGGGGATTTTAAAGACCACAGATCTATTTGCCCCTGGACTACTTTATTTTTTTAAAAAAGGCCATGAGGTAGTCATACAAGTCAAGAGAGATTGAGCAAAAGCAAACAGAAAGAGACAGTTTTGAGTACCCCTTCCTTATTTCAGAAGTTTAGCATCTCATCCACGCAATGCTTTTCTACCTTCAGGCAACTGCATTCCCCCCCCCC